GTGTAGTGTGACCAAACAGGTCTGTACTTGTGTCTCTGCATCAGAAGGAGCGAGACACAAACAGTGGGTCAGTCTGCAACGTACCAAAGCACAAATGTGTATTTAACGATGATTTGTACAAGAAAATCCACGCTTTCCGTTGCGTTCGGGACAAGTGTGAGTCCATGTGCACAGTGTATAAAGCAGCACATATGTTTCGGTGGAAAAAAGTTTTGTCAGGTGAGAGTCGCTCAATGTCGACGACGAGTCCCCACCTCCCTCCCCCCGTACGGTGTCCTGGTTTTGACAAACGCAAATATGGTCACACTAACATGTATTCCACTGAGTCGTGTCTTTTAATCCGACAGAAATTAACTGCATCAGCGACACAACAGCTGTAGTTTTATCTTCGCTGAGTTTATGCAAATTAGCAATGTGGTTTTAAGTTTCGTTTCTGTGAGAGTTGCGCAAAACTGAATTAAACACATTAAAATGTCAAACGGGCTGATGTGGCTCTAGAGTCGTTACGGTTTATATGTCGTAAAGTTGAATTTATTTATGCAGATTAGTGCAGATAGTAATAATAATGATGATCATTTTAATATAAAAACGTTAATGATTAATCGATAATCGATCGTTCATTCTTCCGATGATCGATTAAGAAAATTTCATCGAATGCCCGTCCCTACTTTAAATATTCCTGTCCTCTTTCACATGATCCTGGAAATGTTAAAACTGTGCACTTTGAAACGTCTTCTTAACTAATCAAACTACTATAAGAACCAGGAGGAGGAGGTCCCAGGGACGATGTCTCTCTCGGCTGGAAGTGTCTGGGGTGAAGGAAGTCTGGGAGAAAATGGATGGATAGTAGGGTAGGGCCTGACCAATATGGATTTTTTTGCAGCTGATATGATACCGATAAAACTGAAATTGGAGCTGCAGATAAAAGCCGATATATTTAGTAATGTAAAAATGTACTGTAAATCTTCAATTGTTTATAAAACTTAGGTCTGGCTCTACTGGATTTTAAATTGGGTTTGTTTAGGCGACATTTATTGTTATTCTGCCTCTTTACAGTCATATTTAAACACAGTAGGTCGGCCTAATGGCATTTTTGCGTCACATTCTAGGCTGTAAACAAAGTAAGTGCGTGTCACTGTAATGAATAATATGTGTAAATGCCGATCATTCACACCTCTATTCACAGCTCATTTACACATCAATGCAGGTCCAGTAACGTGTGTATAGAGTCACTATTGTCACTTTAGACTAGGCCAATGTCAGAAAACAGGTTGTTTATGTGTGGGAGCTACAGCAGCTAAACTCTGACCAATGAGAAAGAACCAAAAGTATCTTCAAAAACCGACACATTTGTAACACTCAGCGCTCACACAGGCTCCTCTCTGATCACAAGTCTGCACTAATAAGTGTCCTTTTAATCCTGACTCAAAACAATTGTCCATAAAAATAATATAATCCAGCACGTTGACAGCAGCTGCATGTGTAAACAAGCGAGTGCGAGTGACGCGACTCTGGAGGTGTGTTCAGGGGCAGTACGGCGTCACATACATAGACATATTACTCCGCAGATAAATACTGATGCGGCGCCACATATTAGGAAATTTATCTGTCTGTAAATTGGATTAAATGGACATAATATAGAGAGTGTATGATTTATAACGGAGGTATAACAGGCCCACGTGGACTATCGACCCATATCGGCAAGATTTAGGCCGATTGCCGATATTTCTCCAAGTGCCCATATCAGTCGCGCCCTAATTTGCAGTTAAGATATTTTCCTCAAATCTTTAAACTCTAGATCATGTTTAGGAAGCTCTCCCTCTCTCCTCTCCTCTCTCACCTCCTCCACCCTCTCTCTCTTTAATTCCGTCTCTCATTTTCCCAAAATCTTTCTAGATCCAGGACAAAGGCTAAATCGGCTTTTGATACAATCTCACCTTTTGCCTGCTCTTTACTCTCCTCCCTCTGTCTCTACCCTCCTCTTTCCTCTCCCTTTCTCTCTCCTCCCCTCCTTCTCCTCTCTCCTCCTCTCTCCGCAGACGTCTTCTCAGACAGAATCATAAACAGCCTTCTCTCTGTACTGCACTGATGAACTCAACCTTCTGCTGTTGCCAGGAGCTGCTCTCTCACATCATCCGACCTGACCGCTGACAGGTGCGACAGGTGACCGGGGAGCTGCAGCCTCACTCCTGTCGACAGGTGACCAGGGAGCAAACCTTTTTAGTCGTGTCGAAATCTTCACCTGTACGAGCTCCAGCACCAGCCCACACAAACAAGCACAGAGTGAACAGTGTCATGTGTCAGCAAATCAAAGGGGCGGGAAAACTACAGTAAATAATATCTACATAGAAAATGTAAGATGAACAGAATCCTTTTTGTGTTACTGATTATTTGTCCTTTTTTTTGTCTTGTTTGAGTAACTCATGGTCCATTTTTAAAACAGACAAGGACAGTGACAATACAAAACAATAAACATATGGGTCCAGTCAAGCAGAAGTAAACAACAAGGCCAAAAATTCAAGTTAATTCATCTGATATAAAAACGTATTCAGCAGATACATATGTACTCTAGTTTATGAAACTGTTTACCTTTTTTCTGTACCATTTTTGGTTCTAAAGTTACATACGTTTTAAACAGACCATGTATGAAACATGGAACAAAAATTATTTCCCAAATTTCAAAGACCTGAAAATCATGTAAATAAATGGATGTATTTCATCATATCTTGTGTTATTCCATCTTTGAACTGTTGATGAAGGTACATGATTTTTTTTAAAATGTATTTAAAATGATAAAAATTTAGCTTGGAAGGACTGACATATTTTATAGAAATAGTTTCCTTTCATTTTGAAGTAATATTAAAGTATTCAGAAGAAAAAAGCGACAAATTATGTAAAATCTTGCACCTTCTACTTGTTTGCACAATTTTCCCTTCCGTTACTTTTCCCTCCGTTACCATGATCTTTCTTAATAAAAAATCTCATGAGTCAAAAAGTAAGAGGTTTTTCAACCTAATCTTGTACCATATGGTAGAAAACTATATGAAGCAAATATTCAAACCAGTTTGTTAAGGATATGTAAGTGAGAACCAAGAGTTATCACTGTTTGTATTTATTGCCCAAAAAGTGCTGCATATTTCATTCCCTCCGTTACCGACATGAGTTTTTTAATTTTTTGTCAACAACTTGAAAGAATATCACAGGTTTAACTTGACCCTGTTGGAGTGTAACTCTTTCCTACATTCTGATACTTTACTTATTTCAATAGTTCCTCTAGTTTCTGAATAAGAGACATTTGAATGTAAAAAATCTGCCCCTGTTTCCCCCGTTACCACTTGATCATCGTAAAGCGTCACTGTTGGCACCTCCAGTCTTTGCAAACTACTTTTTTGTAATTAATCCAGAGGTGGGATGTGTACAACGGTCTACAATATGATTTACATCGTTTGTACAAGAATCAAACTTGCGCCTAAGAGGATCTGCCTGAGCATAGAACGTCCTACACTGTCTGTACACATCATCATCATCTGTCATGTCCGCGGTGATGATCTGCAGCAGATATTTAATTTTTGTTCTAACCGTCAACACAACATTTGACGGGCAATAGTCCGGATATCTCATGTGATTATCTTCTTTGGTCCTACTGATCATGACCATGCTCTTGTTTGTATTATACTTTATATCATGCTCCACACTGTGAGATGAACAGATGTTGAGTAGCTGCTGGAGACCAGCGGCGCTTGGACAACAACCAAATCATCTGCAAATATTAAATGATCCACAATGAGATTTCCAGCCACACAACCAGTTTTACATGTTTTAAGCTTTGTTGACAATTCATCTAAATACAAATTAAATAAAACTGGGACAGAATCCTCCTGTCTGACCACACTGCTGACCCTAAATTGGGCAGATGCACCGTTTCCCCACTTTTTAGTTTGATTAGTTATTGCCAAAGTCAAAGTTTCCATCTTAGTTGAGCTCAGAAACCTTTGTTAAAGCTCGTATATTACACAAAGTGCGTTCTTTGAGCTGTAATCTTATAACGTTGTTACCTCAGCAAAAGCATAACCAGAGTGGTGTTTTGTTTCATGTTTCATGTTTGAGTTATTCTTTATTATTAGTCTGTCTGCATCTCCAAAGTTCAAAATGTTCTGTTTCACATTCTGATGTCATGAAGCTACAGTATATCTTTGACTTTTGTTGAGTAGAAATGGGCAATTCCAAACCAAAAGTAACCAAAGAATTGATGAACTGATGGTTTAACCCCTTAACGCCAACTGTCACAGATATGTGACAAACCATTTGGATAAGATATCAGCTGAGACAGTCGCTGCATTACCCCAGTGCTGGTTAGTGTATAAGCAGAACCTTCCTCGAAACCTTTGGCCAGCACTTGTTTCTAGTGTCGCAAATTTGCAACATATCCACATTTCTATTTATTTATTTTTGCTATAGTTAATTTAATAATTTAAATTTAATTTACCATCTACTTAAAGGCAAAAACGCACACACAACTTTTTTTTTATATACATCTATACAAATTCAGGTGTTAAGGGGTTAAAAACCCACTGGAGCACTTGCTGTATTACTGCCTGATGTTGCCTAGTGACTGGACTGATCATCCAGTAATCAAGTTTGTACAGACAAAACTAATTAATTAATTAATCATTGCATTTATACAGCACCTTTCAAGATACCCAAAGCACTTTACAGTTCATTATTCATTCACTCAACACTGAGTGGTAGTTAAGTCACTACTGTAGCCACAGCTGCCCTGGGGCAGGCTGCCAACCTGCACCATCGGTCCCTCCGACCACCACCACTCATACACACATCAATTTCATACTAGGCAATGTGGGTGAAGTGCCTTGCCTAAGAACACAACAACAGTTTTTGCCACTGAACTAGACCCCCATGTTACTGCGTGATCTCAGACGACACAAAACCACTCAGACAGATTTAAAACAGGCACTGTGAGCTGTCCGTGTGTCCCTCACCTGTTCGTGCGTCATGCTGTGGACCTGTGAGTGCCAGGAGGCGGAGTCAGAGCGGTGATAGGAGGGGGGCGGGGCAAAGTCCTGCAAGATGATTGGGTCTCGCTCCTGACACAGAGAGGTCAGGTGACTGATGTACAGCTTCAGTTTGCTGCGGTTTTGATTGAGATCCAGGAGCGTGGAGAGGATCTGAGGGACAAGGACAGGGAAGAGTCAGTGAGTGTAAGGAGCAGTGTACAAGAACATACGGAGATAAAAACAATAATACAAACATTATGAACAAAGGACTGAGACAAAACATGTGATTATGGAGGATGATTCTGTATTAAAGATGACAAGAGATGATTTAGTGGAGACAGACTGAGGTGATTAAATGGGTACATTGAAAAAAAGGAAGTGCAGGCTTGTTTAACAGTCCTACATTACACAAAACTGACTCTTGTGAGCTTTAAACCATGTTATAATGTTGTTACTTTCCCAAAAACAGACCTGGAGTTGTGTTTTGTTTCATTCACACACGTTTGAGTACCGTATTTTTCAGACTATAAGTCACACTTTTCATGGTTTGGGTGTTTCCTGCAACTTATGCTCCCGTGCGACTTATATGTTAAAATTTTCACACTGAAGCTGCGAGACTTCACTCTACTGTCACTGTCACTTCACTCTACTGCGCATGTCTCCTGCAGAAAGAGCCTCTGTTCTGTCTGTATCATGTCAGTCGATCGCACCATTACTTCTGTAACACTGAAAATTTAACACTGAAACAAAGTTATAAAGACACTGAGAAAACTGACCACAAATGCCTCTAAAAAGAAAATCATATTTTGCAGATTAGAAACTGCAAGTCGTGAAATCTGCAGCTGAAAACAGTAATCGAGCAGCAGAAAGAAAGTTTGGAGCGAGAGAGAAACTTGTGACACTGAGAGGCTGCACCATGAAACTTTCCTGAAGTCACTGAATGAATCGACAAAGCCTGAACTTCAGTGACACTGAAACCATCCTGTCGGGATTCAGAAAGGCCGGAATAATTCTAACTGGAACTGATGCTGAGTCTGACGACAGCGACACAGAAGAGGAAGCGGCGTCTGTTTACCTCCGGAGGTCGTGGAGTTGCTCAGAAGTGACACCGAGGATGAAGAATTGAATGGATTTAGTGATTTGGAGTGAGATGGAGAGTTTGTTAAACTTGTTCTGTTCTGTTGTTTATGTTATAGTTTATCTGAAGAACTGTTCATATGTGATGTTAACAGTCTGTTGTTCTCTGTTCTGTTGTTTTTACTAGAACTTGACTTTTAAGATGAAATGTCGGTTCCTGGTCTCTGTTTTATAAAATAAATTTACCCCAAAAAGTGCGACTTATATGTTTTTTTCTTCTTCATTACACATTTTTTGGCTGGTGCGACTTATACTAGGGAGCGACTTATAGTCCAAAAAACTTTACTCTAATCATTTATTATTAGTAGGTCTACATTTTACCAGCTCAAAATGCTCTGTTCCACCTTGTGATGTCATGTGAACTGCCTAAATCTGCAGGTTTGTGTGTTAAACGTGTGAGTGAATGAAACAAAACACAACTCCAGGTCTGTTTGTGACGAGGAAACAACATTATAACACAGATCAGAAAATATTGGGGCCTTTAAATTGTTAAATGAGTTGAATAAAAAAGGTGCTATTACTGAAATTTCTAAGGGGTAAAAGTAAACGGGCAGATCCGGCGTAATCACGATCACGTGTGGATTCAGCATGTGGTGCCAAGGTGTGTCTGGGAACAAGGGAGAAGATTCAAAAACCAGCTGCAGTTTGACACTCAGATTTAGGAGGGTGACGAGGTCCGGACCCCCCACGACCCCCACAGGACCCACACAGGACCCCCCAGGACCTTCCAGGACCTCCCAGGAGAGGCCCAGATAAGACCCCCGTCCCCAGAGGAGGGAAGATTTAAGGGCAGAGGAAGCACATGAAGGAGCCTGGAAGTGTGAGGGGGAAAGTGTATATAAACTCAGCTGGATCTGTCTGCACTGCGGGGCTGTGGTCATCGTCACTCAGCGCACACACACACACACACACACACACATAAACACACACACACAGGCCACGGACAGAACAATTTGGGAAAAGTAGCAGATTTTTGTGATTAGTTTTGCTATTTACCTTCCAAATTCATGTCTTAATAATAACAAATTTTACAGATTTTTCACTCGCCTGCACCAGCAAGTAATTACTTTTCACTCCCGCTCTCGCCCACATCTGCGATATTTTGTCCCGCTCCCGCCCGCAAATCCCAAAAGACGGGCACGTTCGCTTTCTTAAACTCTATCAAACACGGAGAAGCGGAAAGGAATTGTGTAAAATGTGCACGAAATTAGAGCGTGTCCGTAAATTCAGGCTGCTAGGACCAGACTGGGACTGAGACCAGGACTGAGACCAGGACTGAGACCAGGACTGAGACCGGGACCAGACCGGAACCAGACCAGGACTGAAGATGTTTTCTGGTTTAATCAGTCCTGTAGTCCAGTAGTCCTGTTTTAGTCCTGATTTAGTCCTGATTTAGTCATGTTTTAGTCTGTTTTAGTCCTGGTTTAGTCCTGTTTTAGTCATGTTTTAGTCCCGTTTTAGTCCTTGTTTTAGTCATGTTTTAGTCCTGATTTAGTCCTGTTTTAGTCATGTTTTAGTCCTGGTTTAGTCCTGGTTTAGACCTGGTTCAGTCCTGGTTCAGTCCTGGTTTAGACCTGTTTTAGACCTGTTTAAACCTGTTTTCGTCCTGTTTTAGACCTGTTTTAGTCCTGTTTTAATCTTGGTTCAGTCCTGTTTTAGTCCTTCTTCAGTCCTGCTTTAAGTCTGGTTTAGACCTGTTTTAGTCCTGTTTTTAGTCCAGTTTAGTCCTGTTTTAGTCCTGGTTTCAGTTCCTATTTCAGTCCTGGTTTAGTCCTGGTTCGGTCCTGGTTCAGTCCTGGTTGAGACCTGTTTTAGTCCTGTTTTAGTCCTGGTTCGGTCCTGGTTCAGTCCTGGTTGAGACCTGTTTTTTCCTATTATTCGTTTAAACACAAAATCCAAAACTGAAAAAACAAATCGTTAACTGTTTTTTCATTTTGGTTTTGGAGAAAAATAATGAAGAAAATTGTTGTTTTTTCATTTTCATTTTCTTATTTTTGGTTTTATTTTGAAAAACGAATGAACGAATGATACACGGATTTCTCAGAGCATCTTAATCATTCGCTGTGACGAGTTTATAAGCTTTTTCACAACTTTTCACAACTCTCAGAGACAACATCTAGCATTCTAACTGCGCACTTTCTGTTTCTTTGATGAACTGCTCTATAATTAGACACGGCCGACTTATTCTGACCTCAACAGCTGCTAACACAACCTGAACTACACGGACAAAAATCAGTTACATAAAAGTTAAAACGCACTGGACATTTGTTTCCTCGATTTCTCCAAATGTGAGTTTTGTGAGTTCATTCCCAGAGTCCTGAAGACGGATGAATCCCAGAGGTCATATCCTTTTACTACTACTGTGTGCGCACGAATATTTATCACATCGAGGGGACGAAAATCTGTACAAACGCTCAAATAATGGGGACCTGCCTCTCTTATTCGAACAAAAATCAGGTCCCAATGATGTAAAACCTTTATTATTATTATTATTTATTAGATTAACGAGGTGATTTAAAGGTCCTATATTATGCAAAATTGATTCTTCTGAGCTTTAAGTAGTTTTATAATGCTGTTACCTCATCAAAAACAGACTTGGAGTTGTGTTTTGTTTCATTACTGTTAGAATTTTTTTCTTTATTATTAGTCAAAATGTTCTAGTCCACCTTATGATGTCACGGAGTGGTAGTTTTCAAGTTAATAGTTAAATTTTTCCAATTTAGTTTAGTAGACAATGGCAATTCGAAGGCTGAAATTGTCCAAATTGTTCTCGTGAAGGTGTATGGAGTTTAAAAACACAGTGGAGCACTTCCTGTATTACAAAAAACGACAGTATAATAAAATCTGGGAGATGAATCCAAGATGGTGTTGTGTTGTTTTCAAAAGCCTGTGCTCATTTCTAGCCTGATTCATCAGACGATTTCACTTCGTGGAAACCATCTGACCTCACAGCATTAGGATTTGTTCGTTGGACGGTAGGCAGTACTTTTTTTATTTAACCAATCTTCGCTGTTTGGTCGGTGCTCGGTCTACAACTTCCAGGTTTCTTGCAAACTGTCTAGTGTATTCTGATTCCTGACCTAGTCGCTGGAGAGAAATGAAATTGAGGCACTAGGTGGTGCCAGCCAGGCTCACTCCTTGGTGCATGGGCCCAAAAAAGAGTTTTACTTCTGTGTTACTTCCTGAATATTGGGCTTATGCCGCAAAACAGCTGACGTCACTTCTGACCAATCAGAGCGAGAGCTGCTGGAGAGGAGCTAGTGCGAGCTCAGAGCAAGGCTAGGATTTAGGTCTTACAAAGCACATTTTTAGGCACTCTGACAATTAATTTTTTAAAATAAGTTCATATTGTAAGAATACTGATGAATCCCTTCTTCTCTCTCATTTAAAGGTTGTATGGAGGATTTTTTTTTTTTTGTTTCAAGTTGTCAATGATAGATTATAGAGGTGCAGTAGCTTGTAATTATGATGACCAAAAAAAAAGAATAAAAATTCATCAACTCTGGACGTGGTGGGGCTAACATTTGCCAATAGATAACGACACTGCCTCGTTATTGTTATGACAGGCTGTCAATCAATCTCCCTACGTTTCTAGTGTAACTGACTTGCCTGCGCCGCCGGTACGTGGTTTACGTACGACTGTCACGCAGTCCACAGACGCAAGACGCACAGACGCTGTTACTCCACCAACGCAACAGTTCTTAGCGGCTTTTTTTTACCTACATCTTCTCGCAGTTCGCACAAAGTTTGTTGCAATGGCCGCTCTTCCCCCTGATCCTCACTTCTCCGGGCACGAAATGTCCGCACACCGCTCCCCTCTCCTCTCCTCTCCCTGCTCCGCTCTTCTCCCTGCTCCTCACTTCTCGTCCGCGAACGAAATGTCCGCACACCCGCTCCCCCCGCTCCTCACTTCTCCATCTTGCCTAACAACACTGTAGTTAGTTGTTTACAAGTCATGTGCAGCGCACGGCTGTAAACAAACTGTTTCTGGCGTAAAGAGAGGAGGGAGGAGGCGTTTCTACGTAGGAGCTGTA